TTGCAAAAGCAAAGGGGACCAAGAGACAGAGAGATGGGAAAGGAGGGGAGGGAAGAGGATAAAAATGTATGAAGATGTGTTCTGTACATGGACCAACTCCCGATGAGGCACAAAATCACTGCATGCTGCAAACAAGTACCAATAAAAATTGAAAAGTAGAGTTGTTATTCATAACAAAGGAAATATGTAAATATGGTTAAAAATTTCAGGGTAAATTAAAATCAAATTAATATCTTATTGTCATTTTTAAATTGCTGTATTTGGTTTAGGGTCTCACTATGCAACTCGGACTTGTAGTGATCCTCCTGTTTCAGCTCCCTTGCTCTGGGATTGCAGGCATGTGCCACCATGCCAGCTCTCGATGATCAGCTCTGTGTAGCCAGGAGCAGGGCCTGCATGGCATGTGGTGCCCAGGTCCTTGAGCTTGCCAGACAGGCCCTTAGACTACTGAGCTAGCTCCCCAGCTCTTGTCTTTCTTATAATTTTTATTTATTTTTTATTAATTTTATTGAGAAACAAATAACAATGAGACAGTTTCAAAACCAATTAGTGGGGCAGTTTCAATAATTAATACATTGCATATTGTTGTCTTCATAGTGGTTATTCATAGTACAAGATGCAGACATGATATCCTGTCCAAACACTATTAGTACAAATCGTTCATGTATCTGTATATACAAAATAGTTAGGATACATATACAGCTACATTCTCTTAATTCAATGAGAAAATTCATTCTTATAATTTTTAATGTGCTATTGAATTTTAGGTTCTCAAAGGAAGAAATGCATACCATGCCAAATTTATTTAATCTTCTTCAGGGAAAATCAAAGAAAAGATTGTTCTATAAAAAAATGGGAAAATGTATCGATATTTAAATTTTTGTACCCATATTTATTTTTTATATATTTTATTTTATAAAAAAATAAAACCTCACAACAAAATAAGAGTGTAGGGCTGGCCAAATAACTCAATGGATTAAAGTGCCTGCAAGCAGGCTCAGGGACCAGGGGTTTGATCCCTGGGGCCTGCTATGTGGGCCCCACCTCCGGGACATGCTGAGATGGCAATTGAGACTGGGTGTGGTGGCGTGCACCTGTAATCTCAGCTCTTGGGAGGCTGTAAACAGGCAGATCACTACTAGTCCAATCTAGCAGTGAGACCCTGAGAACACCCTGTAGACCCTTCCCTAAAATACAAAAAAAAAAAAATCAAAAAAACAAGAGTGTAACAATAGTTAATGCACTGTATATCCTTATCTTTGTTTTGTTTTTAAATTTATTTGTATTTTTTATTTTTTGCAGTACTAGGGATTGAACTGAGGATCTTGTGCTTAATAGGCAAGCCCTTATTTTACTAGGCTACCTCCCCAGCCCTATCCTTATCTTTAAGGAGTTTATTCAGAATATAAGACACAGACAGAAAAGATCTTTCTTACAAAGAAGAAACAACCAGATAATAGCACAAACTTATACTTCTGTAAGTGTTAATGAGTAAGAGTACCTACTGCTGTCAGTTGTCAAATATCCCCTGAGGCCCCCTTTCCACCTTCCCCGAAAGCTCCAAAGCTGCTATCCACGGACCTCAGCCAGGTTCTCTGGGCATGAGAGCCTCCTTTGGGGACAGTCAGTGGTGAGCTCTGCAGGAGAGAGAGAGGGCATGAGGAAAGGCAGCCCTTTCCTGGTCCTCCTCCTGCAGGCTGGGGTGCTGTGTCCGCCTCAGGGGAGCAGCTCCTGCCGTGAGGCCTCTTCTACAAGCACTGTTGCACCTACAGCTCTCAGCAAGCTACAGCAAACTCCTCTGTCCCTTCCTCTTCCTCAGCCTAGGAGCTTGCCACAGCCTGAGCTGTTACCATTGCAGGATGTTTCGCCTTCTCTTGCTGGTTCCACAAAACCCTGTAGACAGATCGCACTACATCACGACTCCCTTAAACTTTCTGCAATCACACAGTTGGAGCATGTTCTCTCTCTTGTTGGTTGTCTGAGTCACTTAATATCTGCTGTGTAAAATATTCAAATTAACACATCTTTTCATTTTCCTTCCTCTTCTAACTCAAGTATTTGTGAGTTAATATGGAATTTTATGGCTTCCTATTATTGTGACTATTTCATGTTGAGCACTTTTCTTTTAATATATGCTAATGACACATTGCATTCATTTCTTCAAAATGCTTATGTTATTTAGAACAACTCTTGTTTAAGTGGTCATAAGGCTCACTTTTAGTACTTTTGTACCAAGATTTCTACACTCTTGAGTGTTTTACGTTGGTTAATCACTGTTACCTACAGCAGTTGTTAAAGTGAATATATGAGTTGTGTGTTTTCTAAGTCATTGCATATCTTAAAATATCATTCTGTTCCCTTCTCAGAACAATGATTTGGCTTGATATAGAATTCATGAATCACTGTCCTCTCCAGATCCTTTGGATGTTGCTTCCAATGCCTACTATATTTTAAGATTATGAAGAAATAGACCAAGGCTGACCCAATTTTTCTTCAGACCCAGTATGGCCATCCTGCTTCCTGTTGCTGTCAGCCCAGCCAACTTTTTTAGGAAAGAGTTTTGTTATTTCAGAAAACCCTCCTTCCTACACACACACACACACACACACACACACACACACACACACACACTAAGACCACAGAAATATCCTGCCTTCTGAAATTTCCTGCTTCAATCTTTCCTAGGATACTCGCAGAGTAATAATCTTCCAGTGTCACCAGTGGATCTCTAGCATACAATTATAAGCAACAGCCCTACCTTCTGAATATTCATTCACTTATTTACTATCAACATAAATTCAGTGGTTTAGAATTCATGACTGTACTTAATTATTTTAATTTTCATATCTCCCAAATCTGGCCCACAGAAGGCCTCCTAGTTGGAGACCGTCTCTTGAAACCCTGAGCTGTTCATTTCCAGTAAGAGGAAGCTGCAGAGAACCAGATACTTTGCTCAAGCGACCGCCTAGCCTAGCACCTACATCATTTTCCCTGTGTCCATTCCACACAGCCGTAAGATTTAGACATAAAAATGCAGTGCTCTCTGTATATTTTATAAACTCCAATGTACATATTCTTTCTAAACTCCAATGTACATATTCTTCTGTACACTGATTGCTACAAGTTTCCATATATACATATATGTATAGGTGTCTAAGTCAGAGAAATCTATAAGCAAATTTTAAAAATCCTGTTACCAGAAACCAACTTCTGATATATTGTACATCGTGCTTAATCAAACTCTATCAAAAATTAAGAACTTCACGGTTGGTGTTCAAGTGTGTGTGTGTGTGTGCACTCTCTTGCTGGGAAACCTCCAGAAAACCTGCTGGCCTTTAATGAAACCATAATGAAGATGACACTGTCAGCTGGTTATCAAAATTAGACTATCTTGAAAGTGGTTGGCTCTGGAATCACTAAGACCAGCAGAACACAGAAGAGGGCAAGGAGATGTGTGTATCTGAGCAGAACCCAAGTCCAACGTCTGACACCAGGCAGAATGTTCTGGCTTCCAACTCAGGGAGAACCATAGCAGGAGCAGCCCAGTGCCTGGGGTTGTTCCTGAGCACAACAGCTCTGCTAGGCCAGTAGAGCCCTATCACCTTCAGAACACCTCTGGGAATTCTCAGAGTAATGAAAAGCTCCCTTCCCCGTCCAACTATGTAACTATTTCTGTTTTCTTAAAAGCTTTTGCAGATGAGGTTCTGCTACAATACTGATACTCTACAGCATTCTGAAATGCCCAGAGTAAGGACCAGGGGGAGAAACACCAAACTAGAAGAAAAATTCAGTGGCGTTTTCCTCTACCTCTGGTGAGTGCTGTTGCTGAGAGTGGGGGACACTGTCTGCACGTGTGCAGCACGTGAGGGTCTCAGAGGACTTCAGTGCCACCCACAGAAATTCATGCTCCAGCCGTTTCTGGCCATTCAGCATGTGACACATGGCCATCGGAGGCAGCACCGAGTCCCCCAGCTCTGCCTTCCCCACCAGGCTGCCACATGTCACTGAAAGCTGCATTTCGCTCTCACACATTTTGCATAATCAGTTTCTATTCTGTCGTGTTCTCTCACACATGGTGCTCTGAGACTATTCTGGAAAACAGAGAATACTTTTCAGTTCAGATGAGTAGCATAATTTTACGCTGTGCTCTGCCTGTTTGGTAAATGAAGTCAATTACTCATATCTGTCAGAGGAAGAGAAAGACACATGCAGGCATGTGACCTGTTTTTAGATCCAGAAACTATCCCTTTGCTTCCATCATGCTGAAAATAGCAGCAACTCACATCATGGATCTGAGAGCTGATATTTGCATTCAGATTTCTAACTTCTAAAAAATCCACTGCATGTGTTTTCACAATCACTTCTGAATGTTTCCCCTCCGCTGAACAGATTCTGTATCCGACAAGCCACTCCCCAGTCAAAGTTCTAAAAGCAGCGCTTGCTCCGCGGCCTGGAGACCCGGTATTGCCGAGCGCTGGCTACCCCATCTGATGAAATCCTGTACTCTCTGAGCCTCAACTTCTGGAGCAGTAGCAATGGGAGCTTAATAGTCTCTTCCTTAAAGAACTGTTAGATTTTCTTGGCCACGTTCCCATCGCCGAGACAAAATACTTAAAACCAACCACTTAAAGAAAGGAAGGTTTATTTAAGAATCGTACTTTCACCACGTAGTCACTGACCCAAGTCAGAAACAGGACAGCAGAGAGCCAGGCAGAAGGAAACGGTGCTCAAACTGTGGCACCCAGGAAGCACACAGAGGAGCTGGACACAAGAACATCACTTCTGAGTCAGCCCCCAGGACCCGCCTCCAGCTGGGCCCCGCGTCATATAGCACATTGGCTGGCGAACCCCTTAATAGACGAATCCACTGGTGAGCACAACACACCATGATCCAGTTGCCTTCCTCACATGGGCTTTGGGGGTGACACTTTGCACTTAAACCACAATAGATTGTCCACTGTGCTCCCCTCAAACCATAAACCCATATAAATTATTTGTGATTTTTTAACAATCTATGTATGACCTCTCCTTACTTAAAGACCAAAGTCTAACCTGCCCCTTAAACAATTCCTACACAGAAATCTACTCAACTATATTTTGGGGAGGTTTCTCAAGGTTTTCACACGTCTCCCCAGGGTAAACCTTTCATTACCAGCATGCACCCGCCTTCTCTCTGGGAGTGGGGCGTGGCCAAAGGAGAAGAGCAAGGGAAGAGAAGCTCAGGACATTGGAAAAACGGGGCAGGAACTCTGGGTGAGTCCGCACAACTTAGATCTCAGTAAATACTGGAAATGTAGCTTGCTCACGGAACTCGGATGCACACGTGCATCTGAAGGGTGCCCCTATTCTTGGAAAATACGACCACAGCTGGAGTGAAGCCCACGGCGTTTCCCAGCTATGTGACTTCAAGGCCCTCGCTTACTTGCACGATGTTCTTTCTTCCCAGATAAAGTTTCCTTCTACTCAGGCAGTTGGAAAGGGTTCGCAGGGTAGAGGTAGCAATATGTATTTCAAAAAGTGTCAGAATGTTGACGGACCGTGCAAATGTGATTTTGTCGCTGTCGCGTGTTGGCGTCCTCTCAAATCTCATAAGTAGTGCTGTTGTCAGGGCAAGAGGAGAGGTGAACAGCCTAAGCCTACCTCCCCAGCTGATTTTCCCTAAGCTTGGAGAAATGGATGTCCTTGGTGGACGCAATCACCCATCCGCGGAGTCCTCACAGATGGTGGAAAACTCTTTCCACCTCCAGCTGGTGTGTGATCATTCAGGCTCTGTCTGTCGGTGTGGGGCTGTTTCTCTTCCTCTTCCTGCCCGCTGACTCCTTCCCAATCCTCTCAGTCCCCATTAGCACTCCTCGCTGAGGGAGGGCAGGAAGGAAGACATTGATTACCTCAAACAGGTCAATATGAGTCCTGTTAAAAGCTCACACTGGTGAAAGGGCACGTTAAATGAAATGCGGTTTGCAAGCACTTTCGACTTCATTCATCTGTGACCGGCCTTTTCCTTCAACAGAGCTGCAGATAACCAAAGATAGGTGAAACCAGGGCCCACTAGGAGAGACTCAACTTGTCCTGCAAAGATCCAAGAAGCAGTTTTGATATGTGTCTCCAGCAGTCCCTGCCCTATGGTTTCACTTCCTCCGCATTCAGTTTCCCTTAGCCAACTGTGGCCCAAGAATATTAAACAGAAAATTCCAGAAGCACAAAGTTCTTAAGTTTCAAATAACTTTTAGTGTGCTATATTAATTGTTCTGTTTTACCATTCATTATTATTGTTCACTCCTTGCCTACTAAGTTGAATTTCATTGCACCTCAGGAAACATACATGGGATCTGTAGGGTATGGGACAGTCGGAAGTTGCAGGCGTCCACGGGGAGATGTGGAACTTAGTCCCTGTGGATAAGGAGAGAGTCCTGTACCAAGACTGCAGGGCTGTTTGTCTGCACTCTGGATCCTAGAGTCATTCCAGCCAGGGAACAGCAGCTACAAGGACAGGGTAGTTGCACACCCTCTACACACTACAGCCAGCCGCCTTCATGACAGCAGCAGCAGGACCAAGGTGATGAGAAGTAGCCTGTCCCGCAAACCCAAATGGAGATGCTGCCTTCTTCCCCGAGTTGCATTCAGGAAGTAGACTTCCGAGATGCACCACTCCCTGAACACAGGCTGCCCGAACATCTGCAGGGAGACAAAGGAAAACATGGGAAAGAAACCCAGAGATGAATATTTTAGCAGAAGTGTGGGAAGAAGTACTCTGCAACTTGCAAACAGCCTTCTGTACCGCATGCCATAAATTAACACAATATAAATTTATACATATTTACACCACATAGTCTCTAACTATATAAATCCTCAATACTCAGACTTGTGGAGTAGGTGTAAGAGAACAGTCCATATGTTTATTCATGCTCTAAGGAGCTCTAGGGAACTTAGTGATTTTACACACACACACACTGCTCTCATATATATATATATATATATATATATATATATATATATATTACAGTTGAATCTGAATGTTTAAATCAAACTAATGCTTAAAGACAAAACTCTATTTTAGAAAATGTTGTCATTTTACCCCAAGATCTTCACAGCCAAAAGGAATTCTAATTCTACCCAACTGAGCATTTACCTAGTTGTCTTATGTATCCAAAACTTTGGTAGTTAGTGATCTATACATGAGGATTGTGTTGACTAAACTCTTTACTGATGATAATGACAATGCAAATGACTATTCCCTAAGTTCTCGCATCCACACGAAACAACATGACATTACAGTACCAGGTTCTGCCATCGGAAATTTCTTTGCCCATAAGAGAGATAGTGATATTTGGAGGTGAGAGGGATGGCTGGAATAAGTCCAAATAGTTGGTCTCTGTGCTTCTGTTGTTTGTGATCCTTGGAAAATATACACTAATTTCTTGGAGAATAAGGAAAAATATTGATACCTGCTCTGCAAACCTAAAATCAAAGCAAGAATCAGTAGCGCAGAGTTGATACAAAAGTCCTTGGCACCTGGACTGTCTTTATATGGACTCTCAAGGCATTGTTATGATTGCTTTCACAATTTGCTAAGCAAACAAAACACATTCAGTTTCTTTCACAGCTTTCTCAGAAGCAAGCTACAGCTGGGTCTCTGTTGACACCCTTTGTTTCCGAAGAATGCCATCGTGATGGTCAGAGAGGCACATCACAGCACCAGTTGCCAACTTGCCTTGGCACATTTGTATGTGTGGGCAGGCACTGCTGATGCATCTTGATCATTGCCCAACACTCAGTGGGCATTATTAAACATGGAATAAAAATAAGAATTTTAGGAGAAATGGCTGACTTCCACAAACAAGACATAAATTTTCCACACTTCACTACTTAAAGCTGTAAACAACTATAAAGTGAGCAGAGCCCATATATCTTTCTAGGTACTAAAGAATCACAATAAAATAAGGTTGCATTTATTGTGGCCACAATCCCAATTACTGCATAGTAAGCTGTAGACTCTTCCAGTTGAAAAATGTACATGATACAAAATTATAAATATAAGATTGGAAGATGTGTTGCCTCTTGAACCCAATACAATATAAGAGTTTTGCTCTAAAGACTCAAAGGAAAGATACCAAGAAATAATCAATTATTAGCATTGTTAATTCTATAAGGCCAAATGAGGAACCTATGTATAGTTTCCTTTGGTTCTGTAATGATTCCCTCAGTTATGGGACAGTTCTTGAGGTAAGAAGCCAACAGTGGTTCAGTAGGAAGAACTTAAAGAAGAATGTGTTTGCTTCCCTGTCCTAGCTTCTAGAAGTTTTTCAGACACCTTAAATCATAGTTCTGCATTCCACCTTCTGCTTTCATTATTCCTTCTCCTCTGGCTCAAACCCTTTCATCTCTGTCATAAGTACCCTTGAGATTACAGTTAGCCTCACCTAGATACTCCAAGATCCTTCACTGAGTCACATCTATGAGGTTTCTTTTGCCATGTAAGTTATCATTTTTCTATATTCCAGGGTTTAGAATGGACATATCTTCGGGGCCATCAGTTAGCCTTCCACAGGGTGCCCTAAAACTTATACTGTGCACCATCCTGTTTGTGAGAACAGACAGGTGTTCAGAGCAAAAAAGCTGGCCAGAAATTGAAGGTTGGTAGTTGTCTGATATGGCCCTCAGGCCTCTATATCCCGAGGAGAGTGACTGAGTGCCAGCCAACACTGGGAAGTCGAGAGAAGTTATACCTCCATGTATGAGAAAAGAATGGCATTCATTCAACCCACAGCTCTGGGAGAAAATTATATCTTGCATGGAAGTAGGCAAAATGCATAAATGATATCTCTTAGTGGTAACAACACAAAGAATAATAACAAGGATGAAAGAGATGTTCAAGCAAAGTGGGAGTGTGTACCAGACATATCATTTAACTCATCTTCCCTCTAATTGTATAGATATAGGAGAGCCATTTTTCCTTCTTTCTTTCTTTCTCTCTCTCGCTCTCTCTCTCTCTTTTTTTTTTTTTTACCAAATCACAGGTTTTTCTTTTATTTTTTTGAAATACACCAACATGGGGAAGCAGTTGCAATCAATTACAGTGTAAAGGATATTATTCTTGCTTATGCTTTCTTTTCTTTTTGTAAAAAAAAAACAACAACAAAATTTCACAACTGCATAGGAGAATAACAACAGTGATTATGTTGTGTTCCATTATCATCAAAGTAGTTGCTCAGTATAAGAGGTAAACCAAAAAAGATTATTAAGAAAAAGAAACAGTAATGCAAATTTTCTTTCCACAATAAGTAGTAGTATAATAAACTATTACTATATGAAACAGATTAGTAAAAGAAACAAGTTAGCATATATATTGAAATATTTTTTAAACAATAGAATACATAATTTGGGGAAGTACATAAATTTCTCCCTGCTCCCTATTTATTTCTTTCCTATTTTGCTCTTTATTTGTGTATATGTATTTTCTCATATTTGAGCTTGTGCGTCTGACTTACTTCACTTAACATTATATTCTCAACTGACATCCATTTGCCTACAAATGCCTCATTTTTATTTATTTATGATGGTGTAGTATTCCATTGTATATCAATATCACATTTTCCTTCTTCATTCATCTGTTAATGGACATATATGATGTTTCCAAGATCTAGGTGCTATAAATTGTTCTGCTATAAATATGGAAATCTGTGTTCTGGGTAATATGAAGATTTTGACTCTTTGGGGAAGATACAATAATACCTAAATTTATGAATACTTGTTTGCAAACAATTCAGTTTGCAAACAAAAGTGTTTGGCAAAACTTCGCTTCCATTCACAAACTTCATGCTAGACAACAACACAAGCATGGCTGTCTTCCCCACACAAACTCAAATGCAGCCATCATTCCCAAAATCATAAACAAATATTAAATTTATAAACCAAGGTACCACAGTACGCAGAGGGTATAGCTGGAGCACATGAAATTTCTACTTTAGTTTTTTGAAGAATCGCTATGCTGATTTCCACAGTGGTTGCTTGAGTTTACATTCCCACAAACAATATGTCCTCCTCATATCTTTGCTCTTGTTTGTTATTATTTGATATTTTTGATGATATCCATTCTTCCTGGAGTACAATAACATGTTCATGTACTTTTAACTCATATTTCTCTGACAGCCAGTGAGGAGAAGCATTATTTTATGTATTTATTGATTATTTGTACTTCTTTTGAGAAGTGTCTGTCATTTCATATGCCCATTTTTTATTGGATCTTTTAATTTGGGGGTTTACTTTTTTGAGTTGTTTATATATTCTTGATATTTGTACTCTGTCCATGAAATAGCTGGAATTTTTTTTTTCATTCTGTAGCTTATCACTTCACTCTGTTGGTTGTTTCCTTTGCTGTGAAGATGATTTTAAACTTAACATGATCTCATCTATTGATTCTTGGTGTTACTTTTTGTGCCAGTGGGATTCTTCTCAAAAGTCCTTATATACACTTACGTCTTCAAGAGTTGTACCTATTTTATCTTCCAGTAGATTAAGTATTTCTGTTTTAACCTTTAGATATTTTATCCATTTTGATGTCAATTTAGTGCATAGTAAAAGATACAGGTCTAGACTCAACATTTTGCATGTGTATAGCCAGTTTTCCACTACCATGTATTAAAGAGGCTATTTTTCCTCCAGTGCATATTTTTTGGCTTCTTTGTCAAAAATCAAAGAGATAAATAAGCCTGAAAATTGTGCTTCCTTGTTTTCTTCCAGTGAGTCACATGGCTGTTTTTGTGCTAGTAACATGCTGTTTTGATCATTGCAGCTTTATAATATAACTTCAAGTCTCGGACTGTGATACCACTGCTTTGCTTTTGCTACCCAAGATTGCTTTTACTATTATGAGTCTCTTGTGTTTCCGTATAAATTTTAGTATCATTTTCTCCACCTAAGTGAGAAATGGTGTTAGTAATTTGATTGGGATTGTATTAAATCTGTGTATCAGTTTTGAAAGCATAGACATTTTGAATATTTTGTTTCTGCCTATCCAGGAATAGCATATAATTTTAAATTTTCTCAGATCTTCCTAGATTTCATTTGTTCAGCCAGCTGTAATTACCATTCTAAAAATTCTTCACTTTCTTAGGTTAGCACTTAAGTTTTTTTTTTTTGCTGCCATTATGAATAGCATTATTCTCCTAATTTATTTTTAGTGAGATCATTATTAGCATATAAGAATTTTATTTATTTCTGTGTTTATTTTGTATCCTGCTGACTGCTGATTTGAGCTATCAATTCTAGGAGTCCTTCAGTAGAGGTTTTTAGCTTTTGCAGGTAAAGAATCATGTTTTCTGCAAACAATATTTTCACTTATCCTTTTTATTCTTTTCTGTTTCCTGATGGCTTTGGCTAGTGTTTTGTAGACTACATTGAATGAGATTAGTGATAATGGGCATATTTGTCTGTTCCTGACTTTAAAGGAAAGTCTTTCAGATTTTCCCTATTTGAAATAATATTGACAGTAGGTTTGTCATGAATGACTTTTATCATGTTGAGATAAAGACCTTTTATACCTATTTTACTCAGCCATTTTAAAATCATGAATGGATGTTGGGTTTCATCAAAAGCTTTCTCTGCATCTGTTGAGGCGATCATGTGACATTTTTGTCCTTGATTTTGGTTATGTGATATATTAGACTTATTGA